TCTGTCGGGCTGACTGGTGAAAAGAGAAGATTGTTTGGATAGCTGCCTGAGAGATATGTGTTGATATGTGTCTGAGTCTGCGGGATTTTACTGGCAAGGTTAGCACCAACCGATTAAAAGAAGCTATTAAATTTATTTGCCATTTCTAAATCAGTTGACTGTGTAAAGCCATCATTAGAGAGAGTTATCTGGTTGTGGGAGTGTTGTTTAGTTCCTAGGATATTAGAGATGGTATTCCATGTGCTTTTCATGTTGCCTTTTGCTTCTTTGACTCTAGTCTCATAATATGAAAGTTTAGCTTTTCTTATGATACTGGTAAGCACTGATGAGTACCTTTTAACTACTTCCTTTGTAACTAGGCCAATCCTAAATTTCTTTTCATATTCATGTTTTTTGTTGATTGATTTGATTATGCCACTTGTGAGCCACGGATTGTTTTTTCTTTTGTCAGTTACTTGTTTGGTAAGGAGGGGACAGTGAGTGTTGTAGAGGCTTAGGGTTTTAGAGAGAAACCCTAAGCCTCTACAACAGGTTAGTTAATGAATTTAGGTTAGTTAATGAGTTTATATCCTGTGTATTATTGAATTCAGATTCCCAGTTAATATTGTGAAGTGCATTAGAGAGATTGCCTAAAGCTGATTCACTGTGTAGCCTGAATGAGAGTTTCTTGCTTTCTGGTGGTGTTGTGTCCATGTTTGCTATGAGGAAGGTAGGGTAGTGCTCAGTTGTTCTGTCATAGATTACCCCAGATGTAAGGGGAGCTGTTATATTAGTCCATAAGTGATCCAAGGTAGTGGCAGATGTTTGAGTGACTCGGGTAGGCTTTGTGATTGTGGGGATTAGCATACAGGAGTGCATGTTGTTACAGAAATAGTCAACTTGAGGGTTATTTTGAAGACCCAGGTCAATATTGAAATCACCTCCTAAAATTATGTGATTTTTGTTGAGATTGTTATTTATGATAAGATTCCTTACATTGTCTGAGAATGAAGCTATGTTGGTATTAGGAAATCTATAGATGGCACCGATAGTCAGGGAAGATTTAAGGGATTTACTGGAGAACTTGGCAAAGGTATATTCACAATAGTCATCTCTATCACTAATGACACTATTGCAGATGAAGGTATCTTTGTAATATATTGCTGTGCCACCTCCTTTTTTATTAGGCCTGCATTTATGAATGGCTTTATAACCAGCTAAGTTGTAGAGTTGGGTATAGTCTTTACTTAGCCAAGTTTTTGTTAAAATGGTGAATGATAATTTAGTACCTAGTGCTGTGAGTAGTGCATTTATATCATCAAAATGTTTACCAAGTGACGTAACATTTTGGTTGTAAACTGATAAGCAGGTGCTATTTAGGAGTTTATTTTTTTGCAAGATTTGCTGTGTAATACCTGCAATAATGATGATCAATGTGCTGATTTGTGTTAATATGAGACAGAATATTTCGATCAGGATCAATATCAGTAAGCATATAGATGCAATAATGTCACGATACAATATGATAAGCAATTACAGGAACAGTTAAATACTAAATCTGCTGTAAATAGAAAGTAATTATAGCAAAACACAACAATAAATGTAAATACACAAATAATAGAAGAAATTTGAAGTAGAGTAACGATCACCGTAGAGAGCAAGGAAGGATACAGAAGTTAGGTTAAGAGAGAAGAAAAATCAGTAGACTGACAAGAATAATATATAGCAAAAAATAATGAGACAATTAATAATCGTAAAGTAAAAATAATCTTACAGGTATATATATATATGTCGTACGTAGTAGCCAGAATGCACTTCTCGACCTAGTATGCAAGGCCCGATTTGCCTAATAGGCTGAGTGATTTTCTTTATTTTCAATAAATTGTTTCTAATTAGTTTATTTGAATCATTAATATTATATTAGTAACAAATTATTAAGTTATGTTAGTTTAGGTTAGGTTAAGATAGGTTAGGTTAGGTCATATATCTATGTTAGTTTTAACTTAAATAAAAAACAATTTACTCATACATAGTGAAATGAATAGCTTTATCATTTCATAGGGAAAAATTAGAAAAATATATAAATTCATGAAACTTAGCTTATTAGGCAAATCATGCCTTGCATAGTAGGCCTAGTACTGTATTCTGGCTACTAGGTACGACATATATATATATATATATATATGTCGTACCTAGTAGCCAGAACTCACTTCTCAGCCTACTATGCAAGGCCCATTTTGCCTAATAAGCCAAGTTTTACTGAATTAATATATTTCTCTAATTTTTTTCTTATGAAATGATAAAGCTACCCATTTCATTATGTATGAGGTCAATTTTTTTTATTGGAGTTAAAATTAACGTAGATATATGACCGAACCTAACCAACCCTACCTAACCTAACCTAACCTATCTTTATAGGTTAGGTTAGGTTAGGTAGCCGAAAACGTTAGGTTAGGTTAGGTTAGGTAGGTTAGGTAGTCGAAAAAACATTAATTCATGAAAACTAGGCTTATTAGGCAAA